CTGTTTAAAATGTACATATTCTTTTTCTTTGTCATACAACAATTTTACATTTGAGATGTGACCTCACTTCTTTCTGTTAAATAGTTAAAGGAACACAATCTTTTAATACATTGTAATGTATAAAAAAAAAAAAAATAAAATCACTATACAACAAGACTTACTTTTAAAAATCAATTAAAAAAAAACAAAAAAAAAACAAAAAAAAAAAAACTTTCAACCAAACACTTAAAAAGAATCATCAATCAGGCAACCAAAACAAACACTGGGCACACATGATCTTTTATGCATAGCCTTCTTGTTTACAGAGGATATATGAATTATATAATTGGATAGTACAAATATTACTATCACTGCCAATGTCATACTCCTGTCATCTTACCACACAACTCAGAGTATATGAATAGGTAAAGTACTGAGCATTATACAAGATATATAAAAATACCAAAATATAAGATCAACTATGAGATTAGTATCAGGCCACTCACAAGTACAATGGTAATGATAACATTATCCATTTCCTTACAAGAAAACATTTGGTATTCACTGACTGAGCAGTCAGTACTGCTTGCAGTTGAAATTTATAAAATCTTTCTATTAAAACAATTTATCAGGAAAATAGGTTCCTTAAGTAGCTGTTATTGATATTTCTAGTGTTGATAGGAGCTTTCTCCCTTGCTTTTTGTTTGAGGTAATGTGGAACATTAATATTTTGATTATGTCTTTATTCTCTCCGAGTTACATATGTTATCCATTCTAATTGTTGCTTCTATTAAAAGTCCTCAAATGATATGGTTTGTTATTTGGTTCAGTTCTTTGTGATTCTGTAATGCCAATCCACAAGGTTTGAAAGAAGGATTGTCCTCATCAAGACCGACATGCTTCCCTTGCTCAAAGCCATTTTTAAAAATTGATCTGGAAGAGTGGTTGTATTCAGTCAACAGTTCAGATATTTCTGAACAAGCTGCATAATATCTATATGAAAGTATTGCTCTGACAAGATTATTTATGAATATAAAAGTTTTTCAGTTAATGTTTTGATTATATAGCAGATTACAGTGTTGCGAAAAACTACCCCTAGAACAGACCATTTTTTGTTCAAATTCTTTATTTTCTATATTAAATTTGTTATAATTGTGTCATACAAAGAAATATTTGAAGTATTTGCTGTTTACCGATTCCACATCCTGAATTTTTATGATCAATTCAGGACATGTGCCACTGCTGCTTTCATTCCAATTCCAGATCATAGTTTGTTTTGGAAATGTTTATCTTGAGATGGGTTGCAAGTGAAGCAGAAACACAAATTAAGTAGAAACAGTTGATTAATTTGTTTTTTTATGGCTTTTCAACATTTGTGGATTATTTCAAGCTGAAATATTCTGGATTGTAAAAATAATACTTTTTGTGAGTGAATATTGCATTAACAATTTTTTTTTTTGAGAATAACTATGATTTTTCCAGATATAAGTATTAATTAACCTATTAGGTGTGTGTGTGTGTGTGTAGAAGATGAACTGACATATTTCTCCAAGAGTATTTGCATGTAAGTATAATGAACCTGACTGGAATTCAAACTTGGCTCTCAGATTTTTTTATTCTGAGCCACCATCCATTATACCACCTCAAGTACAAGCGAAGTCAGTTATTGATAATAGTAATGTTGTATTAAGAACAAGTGAAAAAAAAGTATGAAGCACAGAAATTCAAAATATAACTGGAGACAGAGTTCTAATTTATAAATTATTTGCTACAATCTTACCCAGACTAAAACAAGTTTCAGCATCAACTATATTTGGAACATCCATTTGATAGAAATCTAATTTTGCTACAAGAATTTAATCTAATCCTCCAAGAAGTAGAACAACTGGTCATATGAACACCTACAGATACACATTTGATGATACAGGAGTGTCAACAATGAAAACAAGAGTTAATCTCTCATATTTAATTTTTATCAACTCCTGATTTCATCAATGACTATCGATCAGTATGCATCTGTGTGGCCCTGGTCTATCATTCAAATTGTGAACCTTACATTCTCCCCTTTTACTTCTAGAGTGGATGTGCTTATCATGTGAATGAGCGGGAGGTCATCTGTCAACCTGGCACTTGATCTTTTTAAAGGACAGAGTACTAAGTCTATTCTGGGATGATCTGGTGTAAGAGAGAGACTACATATTTAAGTTGAACATAACTCTTGGCAACATGAAAATGAAAGATTTTTTTTTTCATAGAGATTCGAAGTAAAAAAAAAAAAAAAAAAAAGAAAACTTTAATGAAATTATACTAAAAGTATAGAATGTAAAAATGTGCTTGAAAAGCAAAAATATCAAAATTTATCTATTTTCTTATTTATGCTAAATACTTTCTGGATATTCAACTATCAAGTGGAAATGAAAGTTCTGCCTGATTTTATTATGTATATTATAAATGAAGATACTAAGGCTTATAGAAATATTTAAATCATCACTATAACCTCCACTGCTTTCTAGAACCTCATTCCATCTGTCAACAAGTTTATAGATGTCATATTTGTAAAATTCTTTAGGTCCTAATGTAAAATATGATACCAACTCATATTCCTTTTCATTTAATGTCAACTATAAGCCATCCAAATTGTTCTGGAAAACCCTAAATTAGTGATAGTCAGAAGGAGCAAAATTCAAAGAAAATGGAGGATGAAGCAGTTTTTCCCCAGTCAATCTCCTCAAAGCAAACTTTAGTAATCTGTGCAGTGTGAGGAAGGACATTATCCATTTCTTTTGAACAAGGATGGATGTCTTCTGTCCAAAGCTACTTTCAAACAACAAAGTTCTTGACATGGTCTTCTTTGGAACAAGTTCTCTCAGTTACTGTTCCCTGAACTGATCCACTGACAATGGTACTTAGCATTATGGTAAAGGATCTATTTCTCATCATCAGTCACAAGTCAGTTCAAAAAGTGCACTTGAAGTTGTTGCATAAGCAATTACTTGTAATAATCAACACATTGTTGATAATTATCTGAAGACAGGTTGTGCAGGATTCATTTTCCAATCATTGAAACCTTTCTAATCCCTTTCAACTCACACTGGACTGTCATATGACTAACATTAAATTTCTCACCAAGTTCCATAGCCATAGTGGCAGGATTTCATGTAACAGCAGCTTCCAAATCCTCTGAATTGGGTCCTTTTGAATGATCCTCCCTTGGCTAATCCTCTAGACTAAAATTCCGAGTTTTGAAATAGGAAATTACCTTCTGCAAGTTCTTTCACTCAATGCATTGATGCCATAACTGTATTGGGTGGATTTTGCTATTGCACTTGCTTTGAAACCTTTATGAAACTCAGTACAATACTTCTAAATTATCCTTTAATTAGGATGAACATAGGGGTAATTTCTGAACTATATTATGAATAATATTCTTCTAATCTGAAAGAAAAAGATAAATTACTTGTAGTAGCATTACTAAACATAAATAGGTAATACTTTAATAAATTTTGTTTCAGCATTATGACCTCAAAAATTGACATAATATTTTTTTCCAACTTGATAAAAGTCAAATTAAGAATTGATCCTCTGCTTTCTCCATGCTATGAATGAAAAACTAGTTTTTAATACACACACATATTTAGACTTTAATTTATTTTTTCATCTGCAGATCCAATAGTAATTTAAGTGTTCCATTAACATTTTTTTAGTATAAATAGTTTGTAAGAGTCTACTACACAAACATAGGAAATTTACCCATCTCTACATAGGAAACTCTTCTGGTGTTGGAGAAAAGTGATACACTCATGGATACACACATTTTGTGTTCATCGATAGTTTAAATACAAGTAACATATCCACAGGAATTTATTTTACTTAATTTGTTTAATAAGCAGATTATAAAAACCTAATATCTTTTACTCTGCCTATTATTGGTTAGTTTATAAAGATACTCATGAAAACCAAACTCTCAAATAAAGGCGTTGGTTCTATTAAATGTAGCCTTAGCACACATTTTGTATTTCTCCTCCTCCCAGGTTCACAACATTCCCCAATGATTGTTAAACAAGATGCCACAAGATGTTTTTAGTTTTCTTCTATGATGCTTTGTCTGATTAAGCTGTGTGTCATGTATGCAATTAAAAATCAATGATTACTATATCAATAAAAGAAAACTTAAGATGAAAGAAAGTACTCATCAAAAATTGATATGGGTTAACAATACTGCAATTCAATAAAACAAATTAATGTTATTGCTACTAATCCCAAGGTAAAAACAAATATGGTGCTGGGAGAGTCTGGGAAGCATGAAGAGTAGGTTTAAAAGATTAGATTTTTATCTTCTGTCAAGCTGTAGATTTCTTGTAGCTCAACTGGTAAGAGCAGCTGATGTGTTTAATCATGTTTCTTGAGATGTAAAGAGATAAGAGTTTAAATCTCACCATGAAATTTATTTCTAATCTGAACTGCTCACACAATTATATATTGGCTGCTGGGTAAAAGTCACAATAAAAAATAAAATGATAATAAAAAAGACAACTAAAATTAAGATAAAGAAAAAAAAAAAAAAAAAAAATAGATAAAAATGATAGAAAAGTTTGTAAAACTATAAAAGCCAGAAATACAAATCATTTTTTTGAAAATTTTTAATTTAGTTTGAATCCAGTACAGAAATCAGGAGTATTGAACTAAACAGAAGAGTGAACTTAAATGAATATACCACTGGATTGGGTACCTCAAGGCAGTGTAATGGTTAGCAAGCATGTCTTGCTAGAACAAATATGAATGAATAGCCAGTTTGTTCCTCATTGGGTGACCCATACTTTTGGCCTTGTGACACATCTAAGCTAGGCTTGGAAAATCACTATACCACTGGATTAAAAAGCAAAAAACTTTTTTTTTTTTTTTTTTTTAAAATTAGAAACAGATAAAAATAATAGAATACTGACAAATTAAAAAAACAAAGATCTTTATCTGTTCTATGTTTATGCTAAATATGGCGGCGGGGAGAAAAGAAAAAAACATACTTTTGTTGATTCTCTTGTTGTTTGCAACACTGAAAAAGAAAGAAAATGTTGTTAGGATTGTAAAGTAATAACATTTGCAAAGTAGACAACTTTTAGAAAAAAAAAAAAAAAATAATAATAAAAAAAAATATATATATCAGTAAAGAATAATTATTTACTTTTTCCAAAGCCTGCAAAAAGTCATCATTGGGGATTATTTAGTTTGAAACCATAATTAATACACTTTTAAAAAACTTTCAATAACATTAAAAGTCTCATTATGAAAAAGAGATATAATTGATTTGTTAATTTGGCACTTAGTAAATTTCAACAGTTTATCTATAATAAAATCTAAATGAAGTGTGTTAAGGCAATCCTTAATGATCGCCTCGAGTGTGGTTGCATAATAAAACTAGCTTTTTTCCTGTTGGATATCCCGGCTCCAAAAGGCATGTACATATTACTTTTGATAGAAATTTATGATATTAACAATTATGCAAGTGATGTTCTTTGATTTGCCTTATGCTTTTGATGTAAGTTGTATACAAAAATATTTGCTTATTTTTACTCAAAATGGGACTATATTCAAGAAAAGTTTGGCTAAATGTTCAGGAGTCATTGGTCAAAAATTAATGCAAACATTACTGAAAGAATGGAGCTATTCTATATATAATGCCTGAATCCAGTAGTTTTTAATCAATTAATTTTTCTCTATTGGTTCTGTTATTACATTAATATACCTACATCATATTTTCTAGCATATGCATTGGTTTTTATATTACTCAAAATTATTTCTAATTCATTCAAGCATACAACTACTTAGTATATTCATTTTAACACAGTTAAATAAAGCTACTTGCCCTTTTGACTCTTACCTGGATAGCAAATTGAAAGTTAGACTACATTTTCTTTGATTTTGTCTTTCTCTAGCAATATGACAAACATCTATCATTCATTTGATATTTATTTTTACCATATTAAACTTATAATTATGGTTTATACAAAAAAAACTTCCTAAGAGGTAAATGAAAGGGTTTCCACAGTAAAATGTCCAAGAACTAGAAATTCCAGTCATTGATATTGATCTCATCCATATTTGGGATTCATTACTGAAACAGCAAATGCAATATTTTTTTTTTCTAGTCTAAAGTTACATTTACAACTATCAAGGCAATCCTTAACTTGGGCCTGCCTATACAGCACATGTAGCTCTTTAGGCACTGGGGGCAAACTGTCAACACACCAAAGAATTGGATTAAGAAATTAAGTTTTTTTTTTTTTTTTTTTAAAGAACTGTTTACTTTTACCTTTGGATTAAGTTTATTATTCAAGATACTGAAGTAAGTAATGTTTATTTATTTTATTTTAACTTGCAATATTTTATCTTTAAACAAACTTTTTCAATGTGAAATTCACAAGTATCATTAAGAATTTTATCACAAAAATAAAAAGTTAATATAAATTAATATTTTTCCCAATGGTATTGTTCTTCAACAATGACGATATTAAGTGTAAAATTAATTTTTTTTTTTGAATAATTCATTTTGCTTTAGCGGAACAGGTATTTTTATTTAATAAGCATGTTGAATTTTCCTGTCATTTATAAATAAACTAGCAGCATGGCCCAGCGTTACCCGTGCTTGATTCAAAAATCATATGATTCATACAACAATCGCTATCACTTGACTTAAAATATTTTTGCCCTTCCTTGCCTTTAAAGGAGTACCCTTTGCCGTGCTGATGTTGTTACATGCCTTACTTCTTGCCTATCTCACACTGCGAATTTTTTCTAAGCTCTATACTGAACATTAAATCCGTTATGAAAAAAGAACTAAACAAAATGAACACAAAACGATCAGCTTTAAAAAAGGACTCGTAACTGGAAAAATCGAATGAAAAAAGAATGTTAACAACAAATACTTTTTCATACCCAACCCAGTTCTGCGGAATCAGAATCAACGTTGAGTTTAAGCAAGCGAATGAGCCAATTGGAGTAAAGTGCCATGCAGATTTAAATTTTTCTCCACTTGTTATGAATGCAGCTATCGATTTTTTTGTATGCTAGTTAACATTCATGTCAGTTAGCTGTTGGCTCTCATGCCGACAGAATCTTCCTGCCTATTCGTGGCAGCCAGCTATAGGCTCTCACTCTGGCCAGTAGAAAATGGCCACAAACTACATGAAAACTGCCGTAGAAGCATGAAAAAAAATCGATTATTTCCACTACCTATGGGAGTTGGGAAATGCAAAGTTGGTCTTGGCCTCCCCGCTAACTTGGAGCATGTGCATGTAAATTTTGGTGCAAATCCATCAAAATTGCGACCATGCATTCGTTACACACACACACACATCCCGCCTTTTATAGATAGAGATAGAAGACATTAAAAACAAAGGTAACACTTTTCACTGCAAAATTAATGAAAAATGATACTTAAAGAATTTGGCAATAAATTTAATATTTTACAACTATTAAAAATATGCCACAAACATGTAAAGGAGAAGACAGTGTCTTGTCAATATTGTCTTTCTCTTTTTAGTTCTTTTATATTTTGTTTTTGATCATTTTAAACTGTAAAATTCATACAAAAAATGCAATTATTAAGAATTTTCTCCTTGATGTTATTATTCTTCATACTAATGAATATCTTGATTATAAAATTCATTTTTTAAGGAGTAATTTGTGTTTTCTTTATGAAGTATGTTGATAAGCAAGAAAACAAAAACAATTTTTTTTGCACAGCTAATTTTCCAAAATGAATACAGAAATTTGCTCATTTGAAAAAATTTGAATAAAAATTTAATATTTTTTCTATGATATTATTCTTTATAAACATTGATTTTAAAAAATAATTATTTGCACATGGGTATTTAAGAAAAAAAAATATGTTGAATTTTACTAGCATTCTTGTTGTTAAAAATGTAAAACTAAAAAATTAACCAGTTTAATATTTTAAAAAAATATACTGTAAAAAATATTAAACTGGTTATTTTTGTTTAGGTAATTGTATATAGAGGAATAGGTGATTGATCTGCATGCCCCCATAAAATGCGATTATCCAAAAATTTAATGAGGAAGGTTCAGTTCACTATGTAATTTCAACATAAAATGGACCCTGATCAGTGAAACAATTTTGGAAATCTTTTGAAAGCACATAATTCCTTAAAGACAATGGATAATAACACAAGATTACAAGATCCCACATCCATACAAACTTTAAAATTCTTAATTCTGAATCCTAAACCCTCCAGACCTTAGAATAAAAGGTTCATACACTTTTTAGAAGCACCATGTAATTTTTATAAAATAATATTCCAAGTTAATATTTTTTAATTTCAGTACCCCAAAAATCTTTCTCAAAATGGTAAAAAAGTACTGTGTAACAGGTTGTCACGTTAACTATGACTAACAAAAGTATATTTTGTCTTCCCCAAGATCAGAATAAGTGAAAATGGTTAAAGGCTATACTTCAAGACAACACTCCTGACAAACCAAACATTGTTGTTAGTGAAAGGTATTTTCCATCTGATTATGAAACCATGGTTATTAAAGGAAAAGTATGACCCAAAAATCCATCATAATATTTGATCATTTGCTATAAGTGTATTAGCTAGTTGTCACCTAAAACCAACAAACAAAATTTCTGCTTCTGTGTAAAATGACGAGTTGGCAGTTTCTAGAAAAAGTCAAAATCCTCACTTTTGAAAAATTGTATCAGCATATTGATCAACAGGATTTTGTGTCAGCAGTTACATGCTATAAATCAAAAAATCAGCTGTTATTTCAATCTGTTGATATTTTTTGTACTAGAAGAATTCCAATGTTTTTTAATTAAAATTTTTGAAAACTTGAGATTTGAATATTTTAAACTCCAATAATTTGTTTTAATAAACAGATCTATCACACTTTTATTTAATACACAAAATACATTTGAAAAATTTAAAACTGATTCTTAAACAAAGATAATTTTGAAAAATGTCTTTGCAAAAGTTTACACCCCCTTTCGAATGTCTTCAGCTAATACTTTGTGAGTGATCCTGTTGCACCAATTACAGCCTGCAGATGCCTCGGGTAGCCTTCTATAAGCTTGCTACAGTGGTCTACTGACAGTTTTTGCCCTTCTTCATGGCAGAACTTCTTGAGCTGTGTCAGATTGGATGGGGAATGTCGGTACACAATCAGCTTTAGATCTTGCCATAGATTTTCTATAGGATTGAGGTCTGGAAACTGGCTGGGCCACTCCCAAAATGTGATTCTCTTACTAGCAAACCAAGCTTTAGTGCTTTTTGACAAATGCTTGGGGTCATTATCTTGTTGAAACTTGAAATTGCAACCCAAGCGCAGAGCTCTAGTAGACTTCAGCAGGTTTGCCTCTAATATTTCTTGGTACTTGACACTGTCCATGACACCTTGGATGGTTACCAGCTCTCCAGGCCCTGCAGCTGAAAAACAGCTCCAAAGCATGATTGAGTCACCACCATGCTTTACAGTGGGGACGATGTAATGAGGTTGGTGAGCAGTGCCTTTTTCCACCAAATGTAGCACATCGTATTTTTTCCAAATAACTCGACTTTGGTCTCATCTGACTACAAAATCTTTCGCTACATGGTCATGGAATCATTGATGTAACTTTTGGCCTAGCTTGCTTGTGCATAGGCTTCAGAAGGGGCCTTTTTCTAGCTACCCTCTTTTGCAGGCCAGACCAGTGCAATACTCTGGAAATTGTAGATGCATGGACATCTGTCCCAGTACTAGAAGCTGAAGCTTTCAAGTCTTCCAGTGTTACACTAGGGTTGGAGGTTGCCTCCTGGACCAGTTTTGATTTTGCTCTTCTGGTAAGTTTGCTCAGTCTCCCAGATCTTGGTAGGGTAGCAGTGGTTTTATGCACTAACCACTCCTTAACTACAGTTTTAACAGGGCTTAGGGGCAATTCTAAAGTTTTTGCGATCTTTTTATAGCCATTATTTTCATTGTACTTTTGAATAATAAAGCTTTTAAGTTCCCGAGACAGAGGCTTGCCCATTTTCTTTCCCGAGTTGGACACCTTGTGTT